AGCCCAGGGGTAGTTTTGAGGACAGAAAAAAAAAAGAGGGCATTTAGAGGAGCAAAACAGGTCCCTTATATTACTTACTCTCTGAAACTAATCTCTATTTACTTCTCTGAGAATGTGTAATTTAGCTATCCCATAAGGAGACCTGTTATTAATATATTTGTATTATGGCATATATTAGCAATAAGTATTTTTATTGCCTTTGAAGAAGGACAAATATAGCTAGTTTTAGTGACACAGCTCTGCTGCACATTAATTTCGTTATGAGTACATTTGCCTTACACACAATCTTAAAAGAGGGCTGGAAAATTAAACATATTAACAGAAAACAAAAATCTGGCTGATCTCCTTAAACAGAGATGATGATCATATCCACCTGGGATTCCAAAATAATTAGCAAATACAGACAAAATTCAGATTCTGATTTTTTTTTTAAGAAAAGCCCTTTTCTTCGTACATGAATATGAATTCTTAAGTATATTCATTATTCCATATTTACTAGCAGCAGGAAACATTCTGAAAAACTATCACATGATTATAACAACACAATGATTTTTTTTTTCCAAAAAAAGGAAAGGAAGGACTGGAGAATACAGTGCTCAATGGGTGGAAATGGGAGGAAAGAATGTAAGGAACTAAGGATGGAGTTGGGAAGTGGGGGAAAAAAATCAAATGGGAAGCCAAGAAGAGAGAGGGAAGATGGTAGGAAAGACTGAAGAAGACAAATAATGAAGTTGACAGGGAAAGGTAAAGAGAAGCTGAACGATCGGATGATGTTTGGGTATAGAAGTGAGATGATGCATATTCAGTGAATATGGAAAGTAGATCATTACAGTACATATGGTTTTTCATGTTCTCTCCAGTTGTCTGAATGGCATTTTTATTATCTATTTCTTGGTACCTACAAAATAAGACGTATACAGCATTAATATGCAGAAGACAAGTTCCTGTAACTGCTGAGGCAGCAGAACAAGTGTCTGATCTGCAGACAGTTTAGAAAAGCAGCCACATTTATAATTAGTTCAGGCCTGTCATGGGTTACCTGTGCAAATACGGAAATATGTTTTAGCACATAACCCAATGTAGTGACATGGACTAGTACAAAAACATTTGCATAAAAAATATGCATCTAATTTCATGGAAAATCAACTCTATTCTAATAGTCAGAATACTGAGACAACTATCCAAATCCACAGAGGGTGTCCTTGTTTCCAGCAGAAATACGTAATAAATTGTGCAAATGTGATTTATTTGTAAATGGGCTCACAGGTCTATTCATACGTTTGAGCAGGTTTCCCCCTCAGCCTGCTAGTTTTTCTTTGCTGCTAAGGGAAAAGCAGCAGATATCTCTAGACACAGTTCCTGATACTGCAGAATGAGAAAACCCACGGCCCCGACGCAGAGGAGCAGGACGAGAGAGGAAGATCTGAGTGAGGTCCCACACCCGGCTTGCCCAAAGCATGGGGTTCCACATGGAAGAAGGATTAACCCCGCATCTGCTGGGACATAATCCCTTAAAGCAGCTTGGGAAAAAATCAGAGTAGACTCTCCAGCAAAGGATAGAGCTCTCCATGGAAGGGGGAAGGCTGCAGCTCTCCCAGCAGCACCACTCAGGGCGTACGATGCGAGTGAAGAAGGGAGGGAGGCAGCTGCCCACAGCCCTGCGTCTATCCTGGCTGTCCAACCATCCAACTACAGCATGAAGAAATGAAGTGGCATTTACGGTGTCTCCCACAGTACTAACTGTGAGGTTAAAAACATATCCATGACATAATTCCATGACCTAAGAAATTGGTATTTTATTTTTAAAAACCTCTGTGTCATTTCTGGATGTCCACTGGACATATCTTTTTAAAAACTGGACTGTTTCATTATAGAAGACAACTGATACGCAGTAGTAGTTACCCAGAAGGAAAGGGCAACATTTGCTGTTTAATACCTACAATTGGTCAGAGTGCTAATACTTATGGTCTTACAGATTTACTGTGGTTTTACCTATTACCGCACATGGGATCAGGACAATCTACTAAACCGCACTACAAATTTTAATAGGGTGTCCTTGCAAACCAACC